TTTTTGAGATGTAGTCTCACTCTGTCACGCAGGCTAAGGTGCAATGGCGCAATCTTGGCTCATCACAATCTCCACCTCCCCACTTCAAGCGATTCTCTTGCCTCACCCTCCTGAGTAGCTGGGATTACAGGCGCCCATCACCACACCTGGCTAATTTTCGTATTTTTTAGTAAAGACGAGGTTTCACCATGTTGGCCAGGCTGGTCTCAAATTCCTGACCTCAGGTGATCCACCTGCCTTGGCCTCCCAAAATGCTGGGATTACAGGCGTGAGCCACCGTGACCAGCCATCGGTGTCTTTCTTATATCCTCTCCTGCTCTACTTCTCCCGCAGGAAGCAGACAGTGACTTTATGCTGAATCCTGAATACTCAGAACCCGACTTAAACTTCCCTAATTCTTTTCTCTCTTTCCTAGCATGGATCAATGTTCCAGACATTCCTGTATTTCCACGTACTTCAAAATTTCTCTCTTCTATTTGTTCTGTTTTCAGGTAATTCAACAAAGCAATTGTGTTAATGTAATATTATGGAGCCATGGGTAAGTGAACTAAAGTGTCAGTTTGCTCAGGTAACCATTTTACTGAAGGAAGACCCCCTAGAAATAATGCCTTACTCCAAAGGATAATGTTAAAAGTGGGAATTTCAGTTACTGTTAAATCAATTGGAAAAGACATTTAGAAGACAGACTGCATTTCAGGATGCTCCAAGTCTTTCCTGTTGCATTTATTTATCTATAGGATAAGCATCATATACTCATTTTCTATAAATCAAGCATTTTCCCTCCAACAATGCTATAGCCACCACAAATGCCCAAGAAAATATGCAAACTCAAACTCAAAGTGCAATTACTAACATAATGGAAATAACTGACTGTGGTCTTTTTCTTAAAAAATATCCAGTGGGTACTCTTTCCTAAATACACACACACACACACACACACACACACACACACACACACACTCTCTCTCTCTCTCTCTCCATATATATATATATATGTAAATGTGTATATATATATATATGTAAATGTAATGATATTTATATATATAAATTATATATATATAATATGATGAGAAAGCAATACTAGCACTAGATTTCAATTACATTATAGTATAAACAGGATTTGAGTCAGCTAAGAATTAAATCATCATTTATAGCACTGATTTTTTAGAATATATATATATATCTAAAATATTGATCAAATCCTATTTTAAAGGAGAAAGATATGCTTTTAATATTCTTTCAGAAGTAAATATTGTCAGAACTTTCAAATGGACATTATGTTGTAATCACTGCCTGAAAAAAGAAAAAAACATAACAAGAGAAAGCCAGTAGCCCATAAAGCTTCTTATCCATATATGCATGCATACACATACACATACACATACACACACACACACACACACACACACACACACACACACACACACACACACGCTGGGTTAAATACTGGTTTTGACAACTCTGCCATCAAAGCTAAACATTTTATCAAGTAATGAATGCATTTTCTCATATTATGATACTCCAGTTTTGCCTTTAAGTTTAGATCTTACTAAAATAAAACAAATTCTCTATGGTGCATTCATACCATCAATTGATGCTCGTTTGGGCAAAATTGTCACAGCCCCTTCTGCAATCTCCTCTTGCTGATAGACAGGTGCAATTTTGGATCCCCAACTATCTGAGCCAATCCATAGAAAATGTCCACTTTGGTTTAGTTTTTTTGCTGCTTCCAATATCCTCCTATAGGAATAAAAATAAATAACGCATATCACATGTATTAAGAAATACCATAATTATGAATATTGCAAGACCAGCTTCAGAAAGTTGTATACACTCAGTAGGTCACTGTTTAACAATTAAGATGATCATTCTAATTGCCTGAGTCTTATCATCTCCTAAAGAAAATATATCAGAGACTAACTCCAACACATGTTAATTAGCCTTATCCTCAACCTCATTCACATCATTCCGTCTATCACCCTTGTTTGTCTTATCTCATTTTAGTCCCCTAGTTTTACTCTGTAGGTATTTCAGATTTACAAACTAGAAGGTAGCAGAAGACAGTCTGCTATTGCAAGGGAATTACAAGCTTTTATGTTGAACATGAAATATGTTAGAAAGGACATGGGACACAAATCTGACCCTACATACAGAAGAAAAGTAATCAGCACCTGATGTCATCCTCATTGGCAAACATAATCACTGCTCGAGCATTAGGTGTTTCTAGCAGGCGTTTGATAATTTTTTCAAATTCTCCAGGTCTCGGTTCACGTGGGATTTTCTGTGACTGAGCAATGCAGACACCACCTATTTAAAAACAAAAACAACAGCAAAAAAAGAGGGTGTGATTCAGGAAGGGCATTTATTTAATTAGCAAACCTCAATTAGCTACTTTATAAAAGGCACATAATTCAGCAGATTATTTCTCAAAATATGTGTCACTCTCACCTATCAAGAGCAATTGGGTGTGTTTGCATTATAATATATTCACCAAATAAATGACATCAATTACTATTCGGACATGGGTTTCTTTCCCAAAATTTAAATATTATTTTTGTGACTATATCTAAGAAAATCAAGGTATATAAGATGTGTGAAGAGGGTCAAAAGGTGGAAAGAAGAAGTGTTGTTTTGCTGTGTGCAACATAAGCTAATGGACGAGCAACAGAATTAATAAAATATGAATATGTCTTATAGTTGAGATGCTTATGAAGTAGCAAGGTCTTTTTGCTACTTTTATTTACTAGTAGATCTCTTTTAAAGTTAATTTCATTGTACAGCTAATAGAACTGCAGCAAGATCCTCATGCATCAGCATAATGATTTCTTATGAGACAAGTGGTCTTCAAGACTGTATAAGACACAGGCAAACACCAAAGATGTGAACTCTCAATTGACATGCATCTCCACCAAGAAAATCAAAATGGCAGAAATACCATCTCACTTTCACAGCAAATAAAACAGAGAATCCTTCTTTTGGCCTCTCCTGCTTAAGTGATGAGGGACAAAAGAGAAAAGTATAAAAAAGATCTCTGCCTCTAGCCTGGGGTAGGAGGAGAAGAAAGATGTTCCCCCAACTGCAGTGAAACAGAGAGAGAACATTCTGAAACTAGATGAGAAAGCAATATTAGCAATAGGTTTCAACTGCATTATGGTATAAACAGGATTTTTTTTTTTTAGTCAGCTGAGAATTAAATCACCACGTATAGCATTGCTTCAATAGGCAAAGGCATTTTTACTTCCAAACAACTCACAATGCATTCAGTCATCCAACTGTTACTGGATGCTATTATACTCTACTCACTGGGCTCAACATTGGGAATGCACAGTCTAATCCAGGAGTTACAATCTAGTCTGGGAAATAGGCATTCCAATAAGTTATCATGGAATAGAAAATAAAGTATAGAATTAATAGGATATCCAATACAATCAGAACACAGAAGAAGGAATAACTAAAGTGCTTGAGAGCACTGAATTTTAAAGAGCAAACATGTATCCGTATGAGGACAAATGTGGAACATGCCTGGTGGGGGCCAAAGTATGTAAACACCCAGCATGATCATGGTCTCTGGTAGAGACTGGCTGGGTTTGAAGTTGGAAACAATGACAAGGTCCAGCTTGAGAATGGCTTTGTTAGACATGCCAAGTTCTGTAGGCTGAATGTTCATATGTTAAAACTTAATCCCCAATGTGAAAGTATTCAGAGATGAAACTTTTGGGAGGTGATTAGCTCATGAAAACGGAGTCCTTATGAATGGGATTAGTGCCCTTACAGAAAAGACCCCAGAGAGATTCCTTGCACCATCTGTCATGTGAGAACACAGAAAAAAGACACTGAACCAGGAAGAGGGCCCTCATCAGGTCTGACCATGAGGGCACCTTGATCTCAGACCTTCAGCCTCCAGAACTGTAAAAATAAATTACTCTTGATTAAACCATCCAGTATATAATTTTTATTTTTAATTTTTTAGATATGAGGGTCTCACTCTGTCACCTAGGCTGGAGTGTAGTGACCAGATCATAGCTCACCGTAGCCTCAAAGCCCAAGGCTCCAGTGATCCGACCACCTCAACCTCCAGAGTAACTGGGATTACAGGCACATTCCACCAATGCCACACTGGTCTCCTATAATAATTTATTACGGAAGTCCAAAGAAATTAAGACATCAAATAATTTGGACTTTATTCTGAAAACAATGGGAATCTATTAAGTTCATCAGCAGAAGTACATGCTGAACTTTACGCTTTAGGTAGCCTTTCCAAAGAAGAAATGTCTGGTATCCAGACAATAGATTTCCAGTGTGCTGTGATCCGACCTAATGAGTATGGCAGATGTATGACTAGCGCTAGTAAATAAAACTATTTTTCTTATAAATTAGATAACATTCAAAATTATGCCTATAATAGCAGGATTCTTAGTAACCTTATAATATGCATTCCAGAGGTGGTAAATTGCCCATAATACACAAATTGGGCTGTGTGTCACTACCCACAGTTAGCTAGTCTACTTATATACCACTACTAGTTGTGATAATTGATTCATTCCTTCAATAAATATTTCTTGAGTGCCCAGCATCTGCTAGACACTGTGCAGACACTGTGAACACAATGATGAATAAAAGAATTACTCTAAGCTCACAGAGTTCAGAAATATTGTGGGTAAATCAGGCTTAATGCCAAATAACAAGAAAGGAGAAAAAGACGAGAAGGAAGAGGAACAGGAGGAGGAGGAGAAGGAGAAAGAGAAAGAGGAAGAATAAGGAGGAGGAAGGGGAGAAAGTGGAAGAAAGAAGAAGAGGAGGAGGAGGAAGTAGGAGGAGGAGGAAGAGGAAGAGGAGGAGGAAGGAGAGGAGGAAGAAAAAGGAAGAGGAAGAAGAGGAAGGAGGAGGAGTAAGCAGAAGCAGAAGCAGCAGAAGAAATACATCATTATAAATTATAATGAGCCCTGTGTGGAAGAGCAAAGGAATTTAATTTAGATTGAGAAGTGATCAGGGAAAGCCACCCTAAACTGGTATAATATAGCTGAGGTCAAAAGGATGACAGCATGGGAAAGGGCAGGAAAGGGCCAGGAGAGTCAATGAATGAGAGCAGCAGAAATAGGCAGCAAAGAGGAGATGGCGACAAGGGTCAGACTGCAAGTGGCTCTGCAAGGCCTGTGGAAAACTATGAATAATTAAAATACGAAACTTCCTCACTAAATCTTTCTATTTCTTCGATCTCTGACTGGTCCATAGGAATATGTCTCATGTATGAGCATTGCACTCCATGGAAGGAAGACAGATGAGGACCACTGACACAGAGGGCAGGCTGAAGTGGGAAGAACAGGAGGCAATGAGCCCAGCTAGGAGGTACTGGAATAGGCAGTGGGAAATGATAACTGGGGCAGGGCTACTGGTGCTGAGGAGGAGCAGTTGGAGCTAATTCAGAGTAGAATCTCTGAATTAGAATCAATGAAGTTTTGTACTGATTTGATGTAAGTATCGAAGCAATGAGAAACCACTAAGTATGACTCCAAGGATCTGGTCTTTGTGATCAGTTATGTTATGATATCATTAAACAAGAGGGAAATCCAAGAGAATGAGAAGGAGAAAATAATGATTTTGATTGGAGGCAGGTTGTCTTCAAAGTATGCGTGGCATGTCAGACTGAAAAAGTGAATCTTGAGCTAACAAGAGAGAAAGGAATTGTAATAATTTTGTCAGGGGCTGATAGGTTAGGCAGTTGAAGTGTTGTGGGGCAAAGAGGTCACTGAGAGAATATTTAAATCAGCAATAGAAAAGGTGAATTACACAACTCTGAAAAACATCACTATGTTTGGAGAGGGAGGAAAGGAGTGATTACGTATTTATGGAATGAAGTCTAGAGGTAAGTTGAAGACTATGTATAATTTTTTAAAAATGTAAACAAACAAACCTCAGTGAGTAGAAACATTAGGTAACTGCACAAATGTAACATTAAGTAACACTCTCTAGGAAACAATAGCTGTTTCAAAAGACGACTGCCCTTTTAATTAAATTGCCATGATTACTTAAGCATCCCATTAAAGGCGTGTTAAAGCTGAGTATCATTCTGAGACTGTTACTGACTCTGTAGCCATAAGAAATTAAGTTCTGAAAATTTTTATTATGGCTGTTTCAGATGAAGCAAACAAGCAAATCCAAACATACAGTTTAGTCTAAATTCATTGATTTGTTTGTTCACCATGGACCTATTAAGTATTTTCGTTTGTAAAGAGCTGAGTTAGTTGAGTTGAATTTTAACATAGCTTAAAAAGTAATTCACTTTTTGCTATTCCCGTACCTCACCTTACATCTTTCAACCTGGTCAGTTTGTATTTTCCTGGAAAGAGGCACTAGATTATCAATCTATTTAAGCTGAACAAATGCTTGTAGAGAACCTGCTCCAAATGGCATTGTGCTGTTTAGTGCCTGTGGATATTTTGTTAAAGTGTACACTGATCATTTCTCAAATGATTATAGTTAGAAGACTGGGATTATTTTCTTAACCCTGACATCCACTCACTCTTTCTTTCTTCATATCCGTCAAAAAGCCATACAGCTAATCTGTTCATAAGCACTCATGATCTAGTATGTTTCAGGAGCTACAGACAGTCAAAGATTGCCAGTCCTGGAAGTTATAATTGAATGACAATATGTACACATAAGAAATATCAGACAAGGGCGTAAATTAGGTAACAAAGATAACAGCATAAGCTATACCACAATTCAGTAATAAATGACAAATAGGTTATCCCCTAAAATAGTCCTATGACTTCATAAATGAAAGAGATCATTACATACTGTTAGAATTTGGTTTAAAAAATCCAATGAAATTCAAAGATTCAGACCTAATCAAAGATATGTTTTCCATACAATACTCAACATCTATTGCTTGACTTTCTAAAGAAACTATCCGTCTTAATTTAAATTCCTGGGTAATTTGTCCACTGCATCCATTCTTCCATGTCTCACTGTGAAAGATTACTAATTGTGTACAATTCAAGGGACATTAACTTTCCCATTCTGCAGGGGTGTTCCTGTTCTGTAATTTTTAAAGCTTAGTACTTACAAGAAAAATGTTGTATGAAGGATTTATAATTGGATGTTTTCTAGAATTTCCTGGCTAGTTTCCTTCCAGCCTGTGTATATTTTTTCCTTATGATTACTTTACAATAATTTAAAGATCGTTTGTTGAATTGAACGCTTTATGTATACTCTACAACACACATGATCACCCCTTTGCAGTCTCATTTACTCAATGACACCGTCTCTATTCCTAATGGCAGAACTTGAAGGTTTGTATCATGACC